TATCTATCTATCTATCTATCTATCTATCTATCTATCTATCTATCTATCTATCTATCTATCTATCTATCTATCTATCTATCTATCTATCTATCCGTCTGTCTGTCCATCCGTCCGTTTGTCTGTCTGTCTGTCTCTTTGTCTGGTTTAAACAGTGTCTGCTGGCGCTGTGAGAGGCAGGCGGTAAGCTGAGACGTATAATTTTCTGGAGAGAGCTCCACACAGACACACGGATCGATATGAAGGCCTGTGGGCCGCAGTGAATCTTTATATGTGACCCGCTCTGCAGCAGCAGCAGAGCTCCAAAGCAGCTCAAAGTCAGTTTATTTCTGTACAGGAATCAGATCAGATGGTGCTGCAACAGAAACATGATGAGATGCATGCGTCTGTTAGATGCATGTTGCACAGTGTTTGTGAGAGACAGAGCTGCTGAAAAGGACGCCTCCATGTCTGACATGAAGTTTCTTGTTGCATAATACAAAATAATCCTCATTAATCAGCTACTGACAGCTTTGCCCTTGCCTGAGTTTGTAAAATTGTGCTTGAGAGATATATACTGTATATATTTACTGGTATGTATATTACATTTTTGTATATGATCAACACCGGTTAACATATATCTGAATCAGATAGAGCCAATAAAATAAGCAGTTATGCGTATATATATATATATACTGTACATATATTGATGCAAGAAAATGAAGCATATTTTTATACAGTATGCTATTCATGAAGCATAAGCATATTTGACAAATATGAAAAATAAAATGATAAAAAATGTATACAAAATATCAATTTCATATATTTTAATATATAATAAAGATATATTATTTAAATATATTGTTAAAATGAGCATTGTATTACAGTAATGACACGTTTGAGCATAGAGATAATACAAAAATATACAAAACATTATACAAAAAATACAAAATGGAGAGTTTAAATGTGATTAAGTCTCATGAAAATAATGTCAAATTTAAATCCTGCAATAAATAAATAAGACCTAAAATAGGCTTAATTTTCTTTATGCTAATTAATTAAGCATTTTTTTTTCGCCTTATGATTTTATGCTTAAATCTGACCTGGGTGTTTTAATGAAGTCAAGTACTTGACATCACATGAGTTATGCAGCGAATGTTTCTCTGTGTGTATTATACAACCTGACGTTCACATGTCTCCCCCTAAGTGCCTGGATCTGTCCCATCCATAATTCATAACTCAGTGTCTCCAAGCTCCGGCCCAAGCACATCAGGAACTCGGCATGAACTCTGAAGAAATCCATCACTGAATTATTTCAAAAAGATAAAGCACAAGCCTTTATTTTAAAGGTCACAAAGTGCCCTTTTGTCTTCATTCTCAACACTTTATCTATTGTTTCATCAGTTCAAACCCACATATCCATCATGTTTTTCCCAGGTTATTTTGGATTCACATTCACACTTGAGCTGCATTAAACCAGCTCTGCATGAGACATGCTGCTCTGCCGACTGATGCTTTTAGCTCTGGGCTGCTGCAACTAACGCACCTCTGCACTTTTCATCTGATGTACATTACCAGCCACACATGATGCACTGCCAGAAACACCAACCCAGTCAGAAATGAGTGATTTTCTCATCTGGAAACCACTTCAGCATGCTCTTAAAGCATATAACCACCAATCAGCAATTAGCAAATGCAGTGCTATGAGTCCAAACATCTCATCAACAGCGAATAAGTAAGCATTTTACAGTTAATGTGTAAATGGCCCTAATAATAAGCAATTGCAGCAATCAAATTAATTATATAATCCTCCGAAAAGGATCACAAGAACCCAGTATTTCTCAGATCTAGATTTGTTGGAAAAACTCTCCTTTTTTCCACTAGAATAAGGCACAGCCTCAAATATCCCTAGGCATTATCGTTCTAAGAAAGATTCAATCCTCAAAGCCTTCAGAAGACTCTCAGTCGGAGTAAAAAGTGCTCTCACAAGCCATCCTGAGGACTGGCTGCATATGCAAGATGACATCTGAGTGTGTTTTGCTTGTATTTGTGATATTAAAGGAACAACTGTTGACACTGTGTTTGATTGGCAGCTTACAAGCCACAACAGATACTGCTATATTCTGCCAATATTACAAATGGAGGTAAACCGGCATCAGCCAATAAACTGTCAGCTCTTCTTGTTCATTATGAAAGACCGTGGGAAACGTGATTGGGAGATTCACTCTGAATGATGCATGTGCTCGGTGGAATCCAAGTAAACAACTATAAAGCAGCTTTTGAATGAATGGCCGTTTGTAATGGGAATTCTTGGGAAGGGCACATGAGGCTCCTGGAAGCTTCTGAGCTCACGGGGTTGTGGTTTTGCCAAGGAAACACAAAGGACTCTGGGAAACATGCTTGTGTAACAACAACAACAAAAATAAATAAATAAATCAAATAATGTTTTGGCAATATAATAATATATATATATATATTTTTTTTGTATTTAATTTGATATATTTTTGTGTTTGTCATATTTAAGCATATTATTGCTCTTTTCCAGTTTCAGGTTATAGTAGCAGCCAATCTTAGCAGGCCAATGGGGAGTCTTGAATGTCAGAAATAGACAATTATGAATAATATATCAGCAGATGCCTTCATCATCTGGTATGTCTCAGATTACCATTACTATTGCATACACCGGGAAATACAGAATATTACCAGTAAAATGCATATTACAAGAAATTATATGAGCAATATTCATTAACGTCAATAAAAAAATCAAATGTGAGCTGCTTACATTTTATTTTAAGGCATCACAGACTGACTTACACTACTACCTTCAAAGATACCTTCCTATATACTTGCAACAAAAACAATCCATCTAATACAATGGATAAAGATACTGGCTATAAATGTCAAAACATACTTCCAATTTACTTACAGTATATTCATTCAATGCCAAAAAGAAGCAATAAAATGCAGTTCGACCTGAATAAAAATGAAATATTTTACCCAATTGTTGTGTATTTCCGTGATTATGACATGCAATACTGATGGCTTTCATCCCAGTCCTTCTTATCATCTGAAGACACTGAAGAATATCGCTCAATGCCAAATTTGTGAGCAATTTCCAGCGCAGAGCTCTGATCTATTAGTCAATGATCAATACAGTTCATTGAGATTTAATAAAGAGCCGAAGCAGCCAATTAAAGATGTGCTGTGTGCAGTTCTCTTTTTAATCACATATTTTCATTATAACCTAATTCACCTCCATCACAAGAAAAGCTAAGATTATTATACGATATAGTTATAAATCAAGCCAGACGTATCACTGTAAAACAATCCACTCTGGAGTTTCGTTTCGTTTTGGATTTTTGGGGGGTTTCAATGACAGTCTTTGTACTCAAGTGCATATGAAGGACTCCTGAAGCAGACGCGTTTCTATGTCAATCTTATTATCTGTGAGCGTGTTTGCTGGCAGCCGTCGCCCTGTGCTAACCTTCAGCGCAGTCCACTGCAGTCAGCAAGAGTACACTGCCTCTACTAATGAAGCTATGAATAAACTCAGGCTGTGGGAATATAGACGAGGAGCAATGAAATGCATCAGTCAAGAACATCATTTACTCTGCGACTCGAAACGTTAACATGCTGCAAAACTGTTATTGCTTACTCAGACCTTTTGAGATAGCTGCTGAGAATTTAAAACTAGATAATTAGAACTAAGTAATGTTGCAACTTTGTAAATAAATGTTGCAAACAAACAGGTATGAGCAGACACACAATCTCTGAGCACACTAGACAGGCACAAAACAACATTATTCAGGTCAGAGCACAGACTCCATTGAACACGGAGGATCGCCTTTTCTGTATGATATTTCTTGTTGCACTGCCTTCTTTATTTCTGCTGTTATAGTCTCTGATTCACCACAACTGCAGTTTCAGTACAGCACAGTCTCTAGTGTGTATGATTTACAGCACATGATTTGCTTTGCT